ATTATGACAAGTGAAAACTTATCACCCATCCATCTACTCTCCAGCTTCCAAAATCTTTTGCTAATGTCCTCACTCCCATTTATTCTCTTTGAATATGAGACATTTATGCCTTTTTAAAAATCCTTTAAGTCATTTTAGAGGGGTTTGGAGAGATAGCCAAGTTGAATGCTTGTGTTCAATCTACCATCTTTCACAGGTAGTCACAAAGTAAGTACAAGTACTTTTTCTTCTGACTTTGAAGGAATGGAAATACTTAACCACCCCATTCCACTTCTACTCGAAACAGGGTATACACAGGGCCACATAACCTATCTTAAAATATCTGAAGGGCTACTATATGAAAGAAAGAACAAACTTATTCTGAACTCTTCCAGAGACCAAAGCTAGGAATAATGAGTAGAAATTTTAGAAAAAAGTTTCTTTGGACTTAATAAAACAAAAAATGTTATAGCAGTTTAAAATTTTAATTCGTTGCCTCATGAAAGAAAAAGCTTTCCATCATGAAATGCATGTATTAATTCACAAACCCTTATCAAGTGGCCAGTAGAACTACAATAGTTTCCTTCCTGATCGGAAGTTGCTCAGGAGCTAATGGAGTAGATCAGCGATTTTCAACCGGTGTGCTGCAAGAGGTATGCTGGTGTACTGCGAGAATTTTTAAAACATGCAATGCCTGACTGTTTAGTCAGGAGCACTGACCTCTTTTCCCTTAGATTTTCAAATTACAAAAATGAAACGGTCAATACAACAATAGCTTCCCACTATGAATGAATCAAAATTATACCCATTTTTTTTGTCAGATCGGCAAAAAATATATATTTTTGGCATGTCACAGAATTTTAGTAATTAGTTTATGTGTGCCATGAGATGAAAAAGGTTGAAAATCACTGGAGAAGACAGAAATCTGAGCCTAAAGATTTCTGATCCCCTAGGTCTGCCTGTTATACTACCCATAGCATTTATATTTCTTTTTCAGAGCACTTACAATTACTTGCTTAATGTCTGTCTTCTCCCTAGTCTCTGAGCTCCATAAGGGCAAGAACTGTATCTTTATTAATCACCACTTTACCACTTAGATTCAGCAGTGGTGCCTGATACATTATAGGTGCTCTTAAGCAAACCAAAATTTACATAGCAGGTTCAGAAATAGTATGATGTAAATATACTATGTAATCATGGCACTAGAAAAGAAGTCTAAAAGAAACAGAATTAAGTGGAAATATGGAATTCAGCCTGGAATGATAACGAGGACTTTCTCAGGGTGGTGGTGTACACACAAATTCTTTATTTTTTAAAATTTTTCAATTACAGTTTATATTCAATATTATTTTGTATAATTCTTAAAGAACATGAAGGAGTTAGTAAGGAAAGGAAGGAAGGGAAGAGAATCCTAAGAGAGGAAACAGCATGATCAAAGTCATAAAGACATTAAGTAACATGATGCAATCTGGCAACTTATTCAATATGGCAGGATTACAGGGCACATATTGAAAAATATGGAAAGAGAGAAGACTAGAGAGCAAGAGAAGGACAAGGTCATACTAAAACGTTTGACAATAATATGGCAATGAAGAGTTCCTCCAGACTCTTAAGCAGAAGGTCTTCCAATTTAACTAAGAAAGCTCCTTCTGGCCCTAGCGGGTTTGGCTCGGTCGATAGAGCATCAGCCTGCGGACTGAAGGGTCCCAGGTTCGATTCTGGTCAAGGGCACATGCCTGGGTTGCGGGCTCGGACCCCAGTCGGGGGCGTGCAGGAGGCAGCCAATCAATGATTCTCTCTCATCATTGATGTTTCTATCTTTCTCTCCCTCTCCCTTCCTCTCTGAAATCAATAAAAAATATTTTTAAAAAAATTTTAAAGAAAGGAAAGCACATTCTGGCAGCAGTGTGTAGGATGGATGAGAGGTGGGGAGGCCAGAGGCAAGGAGACCAGTTGAAAATGTGAATGGCAGCCCTGACCAGTTTGGCTCAGTAGAGCGTCGGCCTGTGGACTGAAGAGTCCCAGGTTCAATTCTGGTCAAGGGCATGTACCTTGGTTGCGGGCACATCCCCAGTAGGGGGTGTGCAGGAGGAAGCTGATTGATGTTTCTCTCTCATGGATGTTTCTAGCTCTCTATCCCTCTCCCTTCCTCTCTGTAAAAAATCAATAAAATACATTTTTAAAAAAAAAGAAAATGTGAATGGCAGAACAAAACACTAGAACATGAACACCATTCAGCCAAGTTCTTTGCCACTTTATAGCAAGGATTGCTTTTCCTTCAGCATCAAATAACAAGTTCCTCATTTCTCTCTGAGACCCACCAGAACGGTCTCTACTGTCAATGTTTCCACCATTCTCTGCAGAATTACTTGTGTTCTATAAAAAGATGCAGGCTTGCTCTACAGCCCTCATCTTTTCTTTCTGAGCTCTCACCACTAACACCCTGAATGGTCTATTTACGGCAATGTAGGCTTCTTCCAGCATGTACCTCAAAACTTTTCCAGCCTCTACCCCGTACTCAATGCCAAAGTAGTTCCCTCATTTGTTACAGCAGGACCCCACTTCTTAGTACTAATTTTCTCTCATAGACCATTTGAGCTGCTATTACAAAGTACCATAGACCAGGTGGCTTATAAAAAGCATAATTTATTTTCTCACAGTTCTGGAGGCTGGAAAATCCAAGATCAAGGTACTGCTAGATTTAGAGTCTGGCAAGAGCCCACTCCCTGATTCATGGATAGTCCATCTTCTCACAGTGTTCTCACATGGCAGAAAGGGCAAGTAAGGTCTCTGAGGTCTCCTTTATAAGGCACAAATCTCATCCATGAGGGCCCTGCAAAAGGCCCCACCTCCTAATACCATCATATTGGAGGTTAGAATTTCAATGTATGAATTTAGGGGTAACGGGGGGAACACAAACAGTCTATAGCACCTTGCATCTATAATTGCTCAGTGATAGAATCTACCGTATTTCTTGCCATGCTGTTTTCAGTTATTTATGGAATTATTCTTCATTATAAACCTACAGACTCCACCAGTGCTAATGCTCTGACTCTAACCTACCATCAGCTAACACCGCTTGTGTCTTCATCTCCCCTAGTGCATTATGATCTGGCTCAGGGTGAACCAATGGCATTAACTCAGCTCATGTGTCAATACATAGGCTCTGCATATTACTTTGTCACAGTGTAAAATTCCATACTTTTAAACATCTAGATAAATAAAATATAGTTTGTATGTGTGTGTGTTTTAAATTGTATTTAGGGGGAGAGAGAGAAAAAAACATTGATTTGTTGTTCCACTTATTTTTACATTTCCTAGTTGCTTCTTGTATGTGCCCTGACTGGGGATTGAACCCTTAACCTTGGTGTATCAGCCTGACTCTCTAACCAACTAAGCTACCCAGCCAGGGCTTAAAATATAATTTTGATGAAAGAAAATATTCTCCTCCAAGATTTTAAGCATGACTGGCTTAAAAAACAATGTTGCCTGGCCAATATGGCTCAGTGGTTGAGCACTGACCTATCAACCAGAAGGCCATGGTTCAATTCCTGCTCAGGGCACATGCCCGGGTTTACAACTCAAATCACTGGGGGTGGGGGGTGGGGGGGGGGGTAGGGCATGCAGGAGGCAGCCAATCAATGATTCTCTCTCATAATTGATGTTTCTATCTCAATCTCACTCTTTCTTCCTCTCTGAAATAAATTTTTTTAAAAAACAACAATGTTACTATTTACAGTGTTTGGTATATAGAAGGCATTCAATAACTATATGATAAATGAACTTTTCAGGTCAAGAAATCAAAACAAAATGCCCAACATGGCAAACTATGCATATGTTCTAAAAATAGCAATAGTCTAAATATCAGATACATAAAAAGCACATAGTGAAAAGGTGAGCTGGAATGAAACTTTTGGGAATTCTGACTGCTAAGCTGAGACATTTGGCTTTTACAGAGAGCCATTAAGATTTGTTTATGATCAGATATCTGCCTAAGAAAGATAGTTCTGTAACTTCCCATTTCAGGGGAAAGTATTTTCATCCTTTCAAATACCATTGAAATGACCAATCTATATACATAATCTGTATATATAGAAGGCTAATATGCAAAGTGTCCCCACGGGAGTTCGACCAGGAGACCGGGAGTTCTATTGCTTGGTATGAAATGCACTGACCACAGAGGGGTGGTACAGAACAAAGGAAGGCCCCAGCAGAAGGCCCTGATCGGCCCTGATCACCAGCCAGGCCTAGGGACCCTACCTGTGCACGAATTTTGTGCACTGGGCCTCTAGTCTACATATATAAAAGCCTAAGCAACCAAACAACCAGTTGACAGGTCACTATGACACACACTGACCACCAGGGGACAGACGCTCAGCACACAGGATCAGGCTCCCTGTCTGGATTGGGCCAAACCAACTATCCAACATCCCCCGAGGGGTCCCGGATTGCAAGAGGGCGCAGGCCAGGCCAAGGGACCCCACTGGTGCACAAATCCATGCACCGGGCCTCTAGTGTAATATAAACATAGGAATAATTCTGTTTCAGGGACAGAAAAAGAAAGTATAGGACCAAGAAACTGCTATAAGACAAAGTGCAAAAAGGACCAGATTGGGGGAAAATTGAGCAGCCTGCAACTCAATAAATGAAAAGAGGAAAAACCTGCTTAAGAGATCAGTACATGGTGTCTCCTACAGAACCAGGGCCCCACGCTGTGAATGGAAGTAGCAGTGCTGCAGGGCTGTCAACAGGAGATGCCACCTGAACAACCTCATCAAGACTACCCCTGTGAAGTGGGGCCAAAAGGAACTATGGCTGGAAGGCAACTTATAAAACTAGGATTGCCGCCTGTTGCCAGGGTGAGTGTAGGAAGGTGGGACAGGGGCATTGTCGAGGAACAAACCTTGAGAAACAACCAAACTGATACATCAGTGAATTTCTCTGAGATAGCTTCCTCCCTACCTCAAACAAGCTAACATTCTAAATCTTGTAAAATTACCACAGAAAATATGAACTCTTACCTCTTTTTCTTTGGGACCAAAATAATTGCCCAAGGACCTAGATAATCTCTAACGCAACTCATCTCAAATTCCAATACTGGGCCCATGAAGATACTCTGTTAAAATGAACAAACAGAAAAACAATTTTCAGGAAGTTTACACACAAACACACACACACACACAGACACAGACACATACACACTGCAAAGACTTGAGTAAAAAAAGTGAGGTTATGTTTCTGAATAGAAAGACTCAATATGACAAAGATGACAATTTGCCCCAAATTAATCTCTAATGTTTATGCAATCCCAACCAAAATCCTGAAGGGATGGTATGGAGAATTTCACCAGAATTTCCTCTACTCATTCTCCAAAGCCCAGTACTTTTTCCTCGGGTAAATAATTATGAGCAAGTCCTATATTTCTGCCTTTGATCTGGTCCTATATATACTATCTGAGAGAAACTCCTTGAAATCTGTGGCATGTAGATGGCAGTTTTGTTCATATCCCAGTGCTAATGCAAGTTGTTTTAATTATCCATTGCTATATAATACACAACCCCAATAATTACTAACTTAAAACAGTAATCATTTGTTTGCTTGTGATTTTGCATTTGCACAGGGTTCAAAGGGGCAGTTCATCTTTGCTCCCCATGACACTAGCCAGGTTGTTTTGACTGAGGCTGAGGCTGGGGGTGGGGGGTCCACTTCCAAGATGGCTCCAGCTTGGTGCTGGCAGTCACATGAGAGCTCAGTGGGGCCTGTTTGCTGGAGGCCTTTAATGGGCCTTTCCATTTGACTGCATCAGTTTCCTCAGAGCATGGCTACTGGGATTCAGAAGGAGGAATGCCTGTGCTCAGAGACCCAGAATGTCACCTCTCTGCAGTCAACTGGACAAAGCAGTGACAGGCCCAGATCAGGTTGAAGAAGATAAGACATAGATCTCTGTCCTGAGGGAAGGAGCTGCATGCATGTATAAGGAGGGGCAGAATTATTTGGGGACCATCTTTGGAGATTATTTACTACTTGGGTTGTTCCTTGATTTTTTTATTCCGTTGGTCATTTTGATCAGTTTCCATAAAAGATGTCCAAATGTCATAGTTTAAGCCATAACCCTTCTGAGAAGTAGTCTCAAATAATTGTTAATTAAATTATAATTCATATTATGAAAGTTAGGCCTGATACATATATTTTTAATTTAGATATCCAGTTATTTCATCATATTTTTTCCCTTTCTCCATTGAATTGTTTTGGAGTCTTTGTTGAAAAATCAATTAACCATATTTATGTGGGTCTGTTTCTGAATTCTGTTTCAATGACCTATGTGTCTTGTTTATTGTACCTTTATTAAAAGTTGATAATCAGAGAGTTTTGTTTCTTCAACTTGGTTGTTTTTCAAAATTGTTTTGGCTATCTTGGGCTTTTGTATAACTTTTAGATCAGCTTGAAATTTTTACCAAAAAAAAGCCTGCTGGGATTTTTATTGAAATTACATGAATCTATAGATCTATAGATCCTTTGGAGAAAACTGATAACAAATAATATTGAGTGTTATGATCATGTAGATAATATATATCTCCACTTATTTAAGTCTTCTTGAATTTCTCTCAAGCAATAAGTATCAAATAATTTAATTTTAAATGTTTGCTTAAATAAATAAAATGCTTCAGGCATGAAACCTCACTGATTAATGTGCAAAGGACTGTGTGTGAGAAAAAAAATTCTGTTGTGGGCATCAAGTATTAGATTGCTAGCATAAGTAAAATATTTTCCCATCACTGTAGGTGGCTTTATAATTGCAAGTGCAGGTAATGGATAACCGAATGAATTTAGATTTATAATTGGCCGTCAAGAGAATTGGATTCTTGTATCTAATTTACCTGCAGAGCATGTGACCTTTATCTACTTCATTTGCATCTAAAAATAGGGTTAATCATATATTCTTCTACTTATTTTATGAGAGCACTGAGAGGAATTTAAATTAAGGTGTGGCTGACAAAACGGTGATTGTGAATATGCTTTTGAAAATGCATTAAATGCTAGATCTTTGGAGTGATACATAAACCAATGTTCAATAGATGTAAAAAAAAAAATGTCACACAGATGCACTCTTCTCTTTTTTTCAATCCTCACCCAAGGACATGCTTAGAGAGAGGAAGGGGGAGAGAGGGAGAGAGAGAGAGAGAAACATTGATGTGAGAAACATCAATCAGTTGCCTTCTGTATATGCCCCAGACAGCAACCTTTAGTGCACCGGGCAATGCTCAACCAACTAAGCCATTCTGGCCAGGCCATAGATGCACTCATGTGCCATCAGAGAAGTCCTTAAAAATCAGAGTTGCACAAACAGGCCAGACCTTTCAGAGAGATCTCTCAGCACACCAAAACGATTCCATAAAGAGCAAATCCTACATAATAAAAGGCTAATATGTAAATCGACCAAACGGCAGAACAACCAGTCGCTATGACATGCACTGACCACCAGGGGGCAGATGCTCAATGCAGGAGCTGTCCCCTGGTGGTCAGTGTGCTCCCACAGTGGGAGAGCCACTCAGCCAGAAGCGAGGCTCATGGCTGATGAGCGCAGCGGCAGTGACAGTAGCCTCTCCTGCCTCCATGGCAACACTAAGGGCCTAAGCCAGGGATGGGCAACCTTTTTGTGAGTGCATGCCAAAACCAGCAAAATCTCTGACTCAAAATTTTTCTGCGTGCCAACCCTAATTTTTGAGAACATGTTACACCTACTTGATATCTCTTAAGGTGTACGTATATGAAGAAACTTGAAGAAATAATAAAATTCATTCGAGCAACAAAAACACAGTATATGATGATGAAAAATACATTTATTTTTTAATGTATACATGTTATGTAAAATTATTTATTTATCTAAGATGCACCTACACTGAATTTATCAGTGGAAGATTAATGGAAGATTATAAGAGAGGGTTTCGTGTGCCAGCAAAAGTTACTGGCGTGCCATGTTTGGCCATGTTTGGCACGCATGCCAGGGGTTGCCCACCGCTGGCTTAAGCCGTCAGTTGGACATCCCCCAAGGGCTCCCGGACTGCAAGAGGGAGCAGGCCAGGCTGAGGGATCCCCCCCCCCCTGCCGCATGAATTTCGTGCACTGGGCCTCTGGTGTATATATATATATAAGAAAGACTTGGGCAGTGAAGGAAAAAAACAGAAAGATTGTTATGTTCTAAGAATTCCTTTATTGATAAGTTCCCTAAATCCAGATGTGTCTATGATGGTACAGATTAGTCTATGTGAGACGAGAATAATCAGTGACAAAGCCAAAAGGAAGCTAGAATTAACTATTTCCTGACTCACTCTGGCTAGGATGTATAACTAGCTCCATTGGGACCATATCAGCAAAGTAGTATGATATTGTGATTTATATTAATAAATATAAATTTGGTCTTTGTCCCTTGTTTCTACATTAAACAGAGCTCCTAAAACCTTTGGGATTATATAAATGGTGAAAGTCATAAAGATGTCTTTTGTTATGTGAATGGGAGGACTTTTGGAAAGCCCCTAAATTACCTAAGGGTGGGGGCTGGTTGCCAATGGAATCAATCATGTGATTACAGGGTTGGAACTTTCAGTCCCATCCCCTGACCTCAGGGAGGGGGGGCCGGAAGGGGCTAGAAATTGAGTTCAATCACCAATGGTTTAATCTAGCATGCCCACCTAATGAAGGCCCATAAAACTCCAAAGGACCACCCTGACCGGTTTGGCTCAGTGAATAGAGTGTTGGCCTGCGGGCTGAGGGTCCCAGGTTCGATGCCGATCAAGGGCATGTACCTTAGTTGCACATCCCCAGTAGGAGGTGTGCGGGAGGCAGCTGATCAATGCTTCTCTCTCATCAATGTTTCTAACTCTCTATCCCTCTCCCTTCCTCTCTGTAAAAAAAAGCAATAAAATATATTTAAAAAAACAACAAAAAAAAAACTCCAAAGGACTGGCCTGGAGAGCTTCCGGGTTGGTGAACACACGGAGGTGCTGGTGATGCCATTGTAATATTCTGGTTATTATCTAACAGGAAAAGTGTAAAAGGGAAAACTAGATATAGGCATGCCATTTATATAGCTTTGCCAAAAAGCTGCATTTAACACTGTCCAAGTCTGTCCCAGCTCAACGATGGGGGAAGAGACTGGACAAAGGCAGTATAGACACATGCCCAGTAAGGTCTGAGTGATGGTAGGGAAGGTACTTGCCCATCAATCAAACCTGGGAGGGAGTTAGTGGCTAGGATGGACGTGGCCACTGAAACCTCTCAAAATCTAAATATATAAACGTCAAACAAAGTCTCTCTCTCTCTCTCTCTCTCTCTCTCTCTCTCTCTCTCTCTCTCACACACACACACACACACACACACACACACACACACACACACACACACACGGGCCCTGTTGGGAATCCTGCTGCAGGGGGATGCTCTCCCCAGTGCCCACATGGTGCGAGGCCATGTTGAGCTCCACACCACACGGACTAATGGACTTTAATCTGGCCTGAATGCTGAACTTCACCCAGCTGCAACATGGAACGAAAACTCTGGACAGTAGAGTTTCTGATTTTACTAAACTCCCAGCTGCCCCTTTTCCAGGGCTGGCTTAAGAGGCAGGGGACTTTGGAACCCGAGAAATGTAATTCCATGCCAATAAAGCCGTCTTCCACATTGCATCCTCCTGTGCAAGATTTAGAAAATTAATTTTCTGAAGATATCATAAGAGCCTCACTCCCACTTGGGTCTCTCCAGTATCACTGCTCTGAACGGGCATAGAAAGTCAGAGCCCTTTCCCCTTGTCCTATGCATCATCAGGCTATTCTTGAGTTCTATCCTTTTATTCTAAACTGGTAATACAGGAAGTAAAATGTTTCTCTGAGTTCTGTGAGCCACTCTAGCAAATTAATCAAATCCAAGGATGGGGTCCTGGGAACCTCCTATCTATAGCCGGTGGTCTGTCAGAAGCACAGGCGATCCATTATCTAGTCTTACAATTGGTGTCTGAAATGTGTGTGTGTAGTGGGGAGCGGGGTGGAGGACAGTCCTGTGGGACTGAACCCTTAACCTATAAAATCTGGTGCTAACTCCAGGTAGCTAGTGTAAAATTGAG